GGGAGGGGAGGGGAGGGGAAAGAAGGGAAGAAATTTCTTAAATTTCAAAATGCCCCTAGAAATGATCAATAGAGCAAAACCCATCAAGAGAAAAAGAGAATCCTGAATAAATTCCCTCACACACAACTCAGTGTGAAAATTTCACCTGCATTTGCCAAGGTTTGCCTGTCCTATTGTGATACAGAAAGGTTTGTATTTTACATCAAGTACAAGCTGGTTCATTTTTCCCTTTCTGGGTGAGCAACTCTTCATTTTAGCTTTCTATTAACAAAGCGGTATATTCACACAGTAAAGACTGAGCTATACAGACGAGCTGGTAAGACAGGACTGCCACCCGCAGGCCCCCTGCCCATCCTGGTGCCATTTCTAGAAGGCTCACTGCTGTGCGCAGCTGCTCTTTCCGCTGTAAGCCACTTGCAACATGACACGAAGCTTTGAAAAGTGGAACAGAATTTGTCTTCTGCTTCATATTTTCTTATATTCTACTCCTAATATTCAGCAACTGAATTACTTTAATTTTCTTCCTTTTCTTTTCAACGTCAAAAACCAACATCTTTTTAGTTCCTTCAAATTTGAACATTTTTGACAAATATTTAATTTGCTTATCATATTCATGTTTTAAAATATGTATACATTGTGGCATGGATCCAAATGAAAACAGCTAATTAACATAACCTCCCTTTGGTTTTGGTCTAATGAGAACACTTTAAATATACTCAGAGATTTTTAAGTCAGAACAGAGCTGGAGAGACGGCTTAGTGGTTAAGAGCACTTGCTGCTCTTGCAGAGGATCTGGGTTCGGTTCCCAGCCCCCATATGGTCACTTGCAACCACCTGAAGCTCCAGCTCCAGGGGATGCAAAACCCTCATCATACATACATATATACAGGCAAATACTCATACAATAAAATAAAAATAAATATTTTTTTTAAAGTCAGTACATTGGTATTAACCAGTTGTATGATACGTTTGTGCCTCCAGATCTGCAGGACATTGGTTCCAAGAGCCCCCATTGGTACCCAAATCCAAATGCACTTGATCCCTTAAAACAGTGTGGATTTGCATATATATATATATATATATATAATTTCTCATATATTTTAAATATAGAGTGTGTGAAATTGTGTGGGAGATAGTAAGGGGATGCTGA